ATAGGGCCTACAACTTTTCTTAATTTTTCATCAACACATTATATCAACTTTATGAAAATCTGTTAAAACTTTTATCAAAATTTTTTCCAAAGAATCCTGTTTCGCAATGAAATGTTTGGTCAACCTTTTCATTTATATTAGGGCAGTTTGAGTTATCTCACAAGGAGATAGGTAAGTGTTTGATTAATTGCTTGGCCAATGTTTGGTTTAGAAAACAATTAGTTTTTAATATGTTTTGACAAAACTTGACGGAATGTGGAGTTGAAAAGTAGGCCATTTAAATCAGATCCGAATCTCTCGATCCGTTACAAAAAAAATATAAATTAGGAACTGGAACCGAAAATTGAGAACCGACTATGTTTGGGTTGATTATTGGTTCTTGAACCAAAATCATGGGTATTCGAAATGAAGCATTGCTTATGTAATTTTTTGTTTTTATAATACATAGACTCGGTAAAAAAAATACAAAATCCAAAAACTCTAATTGGATAGTCATTTGTATAGAACTCTAGACTCTATACTATGAAATCATGACTGGTCCCACTTTTTTGTCTCTCTCCTCACATCAAATTGTTACATTTCAGAGATTGGTGTTATTGATCATAAGTAGTGCTCTCAATGAGGGCCACATGGAAGCCCCTTGTTCACACACGTGGTGTTAAATCAAGAGTAAAGAAGGAGTTCTCTAATTTCATTAATAGCCGAGGTCATTGTACTGGAGTTCTTTGAAGTAATTTTAGTCTTCTTTCATCTGAAGTTCCTAATGCACCTTAACATCCAAAGTCCTTGATGCCTAGAAGAGGGTTTGATGTGCGTATCTTTAAGATTGATTGATGTGACATTCTAATTAAATAGCTATCAAGAATGCTAGCTTAGGGATGTAGGGTGGCTAACCCTTTGTCAAATATCTATAAATGTAATTAATGTGAGATAGAATTGATACGACACAAGGGTCTAGCAGATCAGGCCACATGGTTCGAATCCAACGGTGACCACGTCGGCCTGGTCACTATAAATATCTATTTTTTGTGACATTTAGGTGGATGGATCTTTAGACATACAAAAAGGGAATTTAGTATTTTTCTTCTAATACACATTTTACTCTTTATTACAAGTTCTATCATTTATAAATATACGCCTTATTTTCCTACTTGAATATATTTGATCAACAACTGAATATTTGTTAAAGCTTACAATCAACATATTGAGAAATATGTCCACGTGTGCATCATTTTTTATCAATACCTATTGACATGTTTTTGGAGGTCAACAGGTGGTTTATGTTAATCTTTGCAATTTGGGTATTATATGAATAAAAAAGTCCAAGCTAGTGTTGTGTAATTTGATGAATCAATACGTTCATTCTTTCCAATTTGGACTTTTTATTTCTTGCATTGTTTACAAACTTATGTAATTGTTTGTGTGTGTGTGTGTGTGTTTTTTTTTTTTTTTTTTTTTAATAACGCTTGACAATTAAACTTGATGATATATTTATAGTTAGGGCTATGGTGTACCTTTTTGGTTATAATGAGTTCGTGGATCTCTTTTGAAATATAATTTTTTCTTTTTTACTCAATTAGAGCGAGTTCAATATATAGAATGCAATTTCTTTATATTACATAATTATATATCTGATTAGTATTTTTATTTCAATTCGTTTTAAGAGTAGAGGACCAAATAAGATTTATTAAGAAAAATTTAATTGTAATTTAATTTTTGATGTTTTAGTTTTCTCATATTTTCTAGATTTTTTGTCTCCACTATTTTGAGTTATGTAGTCAAATTTCTTAGTTTTTTGAAGATTTTAAGGCTGAAATATTTGAATAATTGCTTGAATATAATTCTCTCTTTCACAAATGTTGTCAAGTAGTAGTGTGTCACGTAAAAGGATTGAAAGGGATTTGTTTCACTAGTTACAAAAATCCGAATGGCTCCATTTATAAAATACTCAAAGTATAATGAGTCGCTCCAAGTATTGAAATATTTGGACTGACACCCAAACCTATTGAAAGTTTAGGTATGATAAAATATGTGATTAAAATAAATTGTTGACTTTAACTTAGATTTCAATAAACCCTTTTAGCTGAAACAAATATGAACATCACAAAGTTCGTTGCATGTTCCAACTCTATAATCAATTATTCAATGTAATCATATTCAAGCAATTATTAAAATAATTTTTTTTTTTTTTATGTTAGATATGCTTTTGGATTTTTATTTTATTTTAAATTTTTTTATTATTTTTTTTGGAGTCATTGTTCCTATAACTATGAATTATGTGCAATTGTAAGCAAGAATAAAGCTAAGTGTACAAACATGGTTGACAACTATGTGTTGTGAAAATTCAAGCCTATGATGTAGAACAATTTTTTTTTTTTTTTTAATGGATGAATATGATGACGTCAACTAAAATGTTGTCAACCAACATTGTCGACAAACATTGTACATATAGCATGATTATTGCAAGCGATTCTAGTTTGAAGAAACTAGCTTAACAAATGAGGTAGTTTGTAAAGCAGAGTCCCTTTCCAAGTCTTGCAAAAGGCATCCCACGACAACACGACACATGTACTAAGAAAACAAATTACTTACGAGTTAAGAATATAAAATAGTGTGCGATGTACAAATCCATGCAGAATAAACTTTTGTCATATTGTATGTCCAAAGAATAAAATTTTTTCATATTAGATACCGAACTATATTTAGTAAATAAATGAAAGAAAGCCTTGTGTCTCTCAGACACAATGGATCATCAAGTTGTTTCGTAAGAAATATTAGGAGTATAAAGATGGTTCAAGTTGCTCAAACTCCTCATAGAGAATCGTAAAAGTAACATTTTTTCTAAGATGGAGAGAGATTTTCAGAAGAATACATAATAGCTTTCTCAAGTCCACGCAGAGGAATCTTAAAAGTTAACAGTTAACACTTCTTTATGGTGAAGACATCTTTCAAAAAGAACACATAGTAGCCACGTAAAAAGAGGTCCATCTTCCTCTTCCTCTTCCTCTTCCTCCACCACACAATTTTCAATAATTCTATTGCTTTTCTAAATTTTCTTGGCTACTATACCAGTTGCAAAAGTTCAATCTAAAAAATTATGAACTCTCTTGCTTTGTTTTGTTTTGTTTTGTTTTTTGGTTTTTTTGTTTTTTGTTTTTTGTTTTTTTTTTTTTTTTTAAAATTTAAATCTAGTTGAATCTAATCTCTAAATTTTTTTTTTTTTTTTTTGCATCTAAAAGTTTTGGGATTAAATTCTAGAATTACAGTAAAACATTATATACATTAATGCTTTGTGTCTTCCTCGTGGCTAACATGCTCCAAAACTATTGTTTCATCCTCAACAGGATTTTAATGATGCTAGCAACGATTTCTTTTACCTGAGAACTTGCATTATTTTCACTATGATAATTCAATAGGTAATTTATATACATTAAAATCCAAATAGTTTATTATTGTCTCAAGTTCATGAACACCTTCTTTATCTAAGGATTCATTTAAGTTCTTTGAGGTCATTTCTTCCATTTAATAAATTCTGCAATGTGAAAACACTTTGGTATTGTCTGTCTCAACATTGTTGTCCAAGTTAAGAATGCAAGATTGATTGCATTCGAGACATTTATTTTTTCTGGATTGGTTTGACCTGGTTAATATCCCTTCAAAATTTTACGGTAAAATCATCTATGATGATGCATCTTGAGGGCTTTATTATCACCTTATCACATGGTTGGATTTTTTATGTCATGTTGGATTGTAAAAACATCTCTCTACATTTTGTACTCCTTCAATATTTTTTGGATGGACAGGATAATTATCTATTACCAGAGAATTTTTCTTCCACCTGTGTTTTTTTTTTTTTTTTTTTTTTTTCAAGTCGCCATGATTTTACATACTTTCCGATGATCTACATAGGAATTTTTTCTGAGCCATCCTCATAACAAAAAAACAATAATTGTAAGCCTCCTTTGTCTTGCTTTTTTCTTCACGTTTACTTTGTTGCAAGAGAGTGATTAGGTTGTAACTTATAAAATAATCATGTTTCATCCATATTGACAACATCTTTCATGGTGAACTGGTCTATGTTTTCCCTTATGGACTCCAATTTCTTCCCCATATCAATTGATTCACTTTTTCCGAAACAACGAAATCACTTAATACCATGTTTTAACTTAAACTTCTCAAGCCGACCTTTAGGAAAGTTAAATTCTGAAGCTTCTCCATTCAGAAACAGCCTTCTTCATGTCTGAATATTTTGATGGTTCATGCTGCTAAGCATGACCACCTTTTTCTAAGTCAAACAAAAGGTACTTTGATGATCGTTTGAGTGTCTTTGATATTGCACCTTGATTAACTTTCATCGTTGCAATTCTTTTTAAGTGCATGTGAATGTTCTTTACTATTCTTACATGATGCTTTATGCATCTCATCTGTCATGGTTTTTAAACATCATCTAGATGGAAAGTCATTGCAACTATGAAATATAAAAAGACTTTATTTTTTTGTTTATATAAAAATTAATTTTAATCCAAAAATTAATGCAATTACAATGAATTTAATGCACATTTAGTTGATTATTTCATATTCAATTAATTAAATAGGTAAAATACACAGTTGATTAAACTTATGTTTGTTGAATAGTAAATACACTTTCTAAATTAATAAATTATTAATTTATCGATTAGTTAATACATCTTCCAATTAATAGAATTTATATGGTCCCAGTGATATTAATTTATAGGGATTATACTGTGCCCTTGTTTGATAGGATTAAAACACAGATTTAATATAAGTTAAAGTCAATAATTAATTTTAACTTTATGGGATTAATAACTTTTCAATCATATATTTCATCAACTTTTATCAAAATTTTCTAAAAATCTGAATTTAATTTACACCAAATAAGGGCTATATACTTCATATCAATACCTCGTGGTTGTCCGATACCTCAGTTGACCATCCATTATATGATTGTCTAATTATCATAAGAAAAACACCAAGAATAGACAAAGGCAAAATTAGGTTGGCAATCTGATTTAAACTAGAATTCCAATATGCTTTTAGATTGATTGTTATTGTCAAAATGCCTTACACCTTTTTTCTTAACATGTAGGAAAGTACACAGAGAATGATAAAAACCGCGTCCAGATATCGTTTACTGAATCTTCACTACAAAGATGGGGAGATTCATGCATAATATACACCAATTTGGATTGGCAAGTACAAATCACCCCGAAGAACAAAGATCATCAAGATTGTCTCAATGTTTACGAGCCATTTTTTTCCCCATCCGGCTTTTCAGTTCCCTAAAGAAATGGAGAAAGTTGGAATATTGAGGACTTTATAGCATAACATGTGTTCTAACAATTAGAATCAAGAAAGAAAAAAACATACATTACGATCCTCAACTGCAGATGCAGACGGGAACCCAAAATTTGAACTGTAAACTTCGTTTCTTCCCCTAGAAAGTTCAGTAAAAGACTCTTCCCTTTTGGGGCTTGAAGGCGAAGGTGGAGGGATAGATGTTGAAGACAAAGATACAACTTGACTGTTAGCATCATCTTCTTCTTCGTTATGTTCTTCCCTGTCCTCTTCCTCGTCCTCGTCCTCGTCCTCATCCTCGTCCTCCTCGTCTACTTCTATACTCCCGTTTTCAAGGTCACAGGACTCGCAGAGAGAAACCGAAGGCCCAAGTCGGGCACCTGAACCATTCCACGGTGTTGGAGATTGACAGGTATGGCATAGAAGATTTCTTGAGTGCTCAGCTACAAGAAAATTTGCTGTATGAATCCTGGCATCACAAACCCTACACAGGCTTGCTTGATCGGATTCACAATACATTCTTGCTGTAGAATTGCAGAAATCACATTTCTTCATTTTCCTCTCTCTCACATACACAAAAGACTTACCTTTGAAAGTTTTTTTATTTCAGTAGGTTACTCAGTTGGTTGGAGTACTATTTGTCAACGTCCTAGGTTGTATTGTATATATACTGGAACATAGGAAAGAAGATGGAAAACTGAAATCATGCGTTTCTACTTTTAACTAATTGCCATTATTGGAAGAATAAAGAGTAGAATTTTCTTTTTAGGGCATCCAACTTTCTATATACGCAAAGTGCCTCGTGTCATGTGGTGATTTGGTTTTAAGTGAATTGGAAATTTGGATACGATATTCGACTTATATTTGCATTGCTATAGGACAATTTTTTTTGAGTAATGCTCTTTATTAAATTGTTGATGGTTCTGAGATTTAGCCTTTGGGCCCCATTTAATAAATATGAATAGGTAATATTTAGGTGATCCAGAAAAATCAATGTCCGTTGCAAGTGTGATCTGTGGGCATGTGATGTGACTGGGTTTTTTCATCACTCAAAAATTACACGAACTATGTTTTCAAGTTTCCACAATAAAAAAAATCATGTATAAATATCAGGTATTTTTATTTAAAAAATATTTTTAATTAAAATCCAGTTAATTGCCAAACCTTAACTGATTTTATCTTCTGAAATTTAATTTTACAAATATTAATATTTTTACTTTATTAACTTTTTGGACAGAACATGTGTTCATATTTACGGAGCACTTCTTGAGAAATTAAAGTCACATAAGTGATATAAGTCGCATCTATGAATTTCATATATTTCAATTTAAGTTAATGTCAATAAGAAGTAATTTTTAATCAAAATTAGTTTACTATTGTCACGAGACATAGGCCACCCTAGTGATTTACAAAGGTCACACTTTTTAAACATGTTATCAAGTCACAATTAACACATCACAAATACATAAGTCGCACTCAAACATGCACACAAATAAAGTCACACTGTTGTTAAAATATTATCATAGTTTCATAACACACTCATATGGTCACATTCTTTCATATTTTCGATAGGTCACATATGAAACCATAAATAAAAAAGTGATTAAATTTTTATTTAATACAATGAATATCATTGACTTCATGTATGAACATAACTTGTAGAAAATTTTTGCACTTAAATGAAAAAATTAAATTAAATTAAATGTCAATTTAAATTTCTAAAAGAAGTCGATATTTAATTGTATTAGTACTAAGTTCATCGTAACACAGGTAGTCGTCTTGAATCATCTTACCACTATCATTTGAAAACGGGAAGGGATAACGTGTGATGAGCTAGAATTTGATACTTAAATAGGGTCGTGACAGTCCCTAATAGGTGCTCCCCATTGACTCCCTCCCCAATAAGGGGCGCTAATTACAAGGGCTTTGACACACCCCGCCCCATATAAAACCACTAGATCCGGACGTAGCATGCACCGATGATAGATACCTACTAAAAGTCGGACCTACCATCAAGGCTACTACAAATACAATATATCACTTTTTATACATAATTTTTCTAACAGAATTTCAGCATTATCTCCCCTCTAAATAGGACTAACCAACCTGTGATCAATTTCACACAAATCACAAACTATAACACAGCACAATAAAGATAAGCCGAGATCTCAACCTTTATCAAGAAATAAAATGAAATATACATATGGATACAAAATACATTGTGAGCCCCATAACTATCTACAAGTAATGTAAAATCACATCTAGATATGAACATGCGTTCCAAAACACTGACTGCATGTTCTATAAAGTGAGTCATACTAACAAACTCTGTTGTGTGGCTCTGACTTCAAAATCAAGGCTCAACTCCAAAAGATGCCCAAATTCTCAATGGCTGCCTAATAAGGAAAAACGTGAAAAAATATATGAGTTGATAGCTCAGTGAGTGGAGAAATTCAAAATAAATATACTTTTTCACTTATACATTTTTAGTGAAAATCAAATTCATATCATTTGATAATTCACAAACTACCATCATATAATTATAGCAAAAAAGTGAGACATTCACATACGGTCATAGAATATCATCTTAAAATCATGATATAATATCAGCTAATAACCATGTCATAATCTCATCACATCAAACGTGCTGAAAAATCCACAAAAAATGTACCCTCTGACTGAAATATGTAATTCGCTTCTTGGGCTAAGAACTTTCGTCATGGGTCTTTGACCCCCTCCGTGAACGAAAGTCGATCTCAAAGACCTCTCATAATCAATTCTAGAACACAGTCAAGGCCCCTCTGTGAACTATATGTACACGATCATGGTCAACGTCAGGTTAAGACCCTCCGTGTAGGATAGAACATGACCAATGCCTCTCTGTGAACTAGAAGAAGTATATAATTATGGGTACTTTTCTGACCAATCTCAATATTGCACGTCTCACATACAAAAAAAATCTCAACATCGCATGTCTTACATACCAAGTCACAAATATGCCTTAAATAATCTTTAATATTCCACATGTATCATAATAAAAGAGATTTTCATAATAACCATGTAATTCGAACACATAATTGCATATAATTGCACATACTTTAACAATATGCTTAATTTATAAATATTTTAAAAATATTTACATTTTTCTACTCACAGAACTATGTACGCCAAAATTAGCTCGATTGGTACTCTGTCTCGATATTCGTATCACTGCCTGAAATATAATATAATTTTTAAATCAACAATTAACTAATTTAAGTAATTTCAATAATTAAATAGGCGATACCCAAACTTAATTATTTCACGTTTAGGCTATTTCTAAAATCTCTTTAATTACTAAAACTATTTTTTTTTTCATTTTACTCAATTTCCTAGTTTATTATACTTAATCCCTTCAATAAAATTAAATTTAATCTAACAATCTAACAACTATAAAATCAAACACAACCTTTCAATAAGTAATTTTTTACTTACCTTTCAAAATTGAAGAATTTAAGCTTAATAGTATAACTCACTTAATTTCTAACACGTTGACGAATTTTCCTTCTTCTTTTTTTCCCTTCTTTTTCTTCCTCTTTTCCTCTTTTTTTTTTTTTTTTTTTTTTTTTTTTTCCTTTTTTTTTTTTTTTTTTTTTTTTTTTTTTTTTTTTTTTTTTTTCCTTTTTTCAC